CACACACACACACACACACACACACACACACACACACACACACACACTAATAGTCACTCACATTGGTAACTCCACTGCGGTTGCGGTTTACAGTTTGTGCTTTCAGTGTGGTTTGTTCGACTCGTCGCCGCAGCGTCTCATAATCATTCTGAGGGTCCAAGATAAGTTGGCATGGGTATTCTGTGGGACGCTGGAAGAAGGCCATGTCTGGGTACAGCCGCCTGCAAACATGCCAACAACAACATTATACTTTAGCAGACCTATTGTATACACATTCATACTGTATGCTATCTAGAGCAAATGAACAGATACCTCACCTCACATCCTTGTCAATTTGGAGCAGAATCTCATTATCTTTGAAGTAGTTATTCCACCTGCTGTCTGGATTCGGATTTAGAGGCTGAATAAAAAAATGAAATGACTTGAATGGTTATACACCTGTGAGCGAAGAGCCGGACGAGCAGTTTCCTTTCTGACCGGTACATCCAGCTTTAGAGCTTTGATAGTTCTCATATTCTAAGTCCTCTTTAACACTTCTCTTCCAGTGCTTACTAAGAACACACTGAGAAATAAATAAGTGTGTGTGTGTGTGTGTACATGGGCAGATGACAACTGACGTCACACGTACACAATCTCAAATGAGACCGGAACTGTCGCTTATGTGACCATTTTTTACGAGTGTGGGAATTAAAATGTCACGTGGTTGCGTTCATGCGAGTGCATGAGGATCATCATATTCCACCACGCCTCCAAAGTCAACCCTAAACGTAGTTTATTAGTAGTAGTGATCATTAACCATATATTTGTAAAGTCCACTATCACAAATTAGCCTCAGAGGTCTTTACAATCTGTGCAACATACAACTCTGACCCTCACATCAGAACAGGGAACAAAGGAAGAACCCTGAGAGAGAGCAGCAGAGGAGGATCCCTCTATCAGGATGGACAGCAGTGTGATAGATGTCATGAAGAAGAAGAAATAACACCAGAACAGAGGAGACTTGACTCACATGGTCCTCCATAGTCACATCTTCTCTGGAAAGGCCCAAGTTGGCTTTTGCAATACCCGGCTGGATGATCATTTCTCTTAGGAACTGGGAGTACACCTCCCTGTGAGAGGCACAACATGGAGGAAGCTGAAAAGCTCACATTTGTTCAAATCCAGGCCTATACATTAAGAGTGCCGAGACAAAAAGTTGATTCATCAGTTAACAGAAAGTGAATCGGCAAATTGATATTCGAGTCATTTTTATTTAACAAGCAAAAACACAGACCATTTACTGTTTACAGCTTCGTAAATGAGATTTGATATGATTGTAAATTGATATTTTGGGGTTTTAGTTGATGACACTAGAAGGCATCTAGGGCTTCTTTATTATTATTTTCTGATATTTGATACACTGGACGATAATGAAAATAATGAACATAATCATTAGTTGCCACAACAAAATATCTACATGAAAATATCTATATAGATTACCTCCTGTTAGTAAATAATATTTCTAAAATCAGAAGAATGTGGTGACAAACAGAATCGGGTGAGATATAAAGAAGGAAACAACAGTAAAGGTTGTTTCTGCCCAGCTAGCTTCACCACGAGACACAGCATCAGGCCTGGGGAGGCACAGCTCTTTCTGCCCAGCTAACGGCATTAGCTAATGTCACCAGCAATGCTGATTGAACTGGTGGTTGCCTAGTGACACCAAAAGAGGAACCCCAAAATAGAACGTGGGTGTTCTTTGATCAGCGTGTTCTCCTTACCTCTGCTTTTTGAGGAAAGACTCCCATAATGTCTGATCGAAAGGTAGATAATTAAGAAGGATCTGAAAGCAGAGTCAAATAATCACAGAACATTTAGTGAGCCATGCAGTCCATCTAATCCCACACACTTTAGTCTCAGACCTCACTTCTGTTATTTACCAAAGAGTAGAGTCAAGATCCTAATTACATCATCTTCAACCCTGCTGTACCCACCAGGCCATTGTTACCAGTCTGGTGCTCCGACCCAGTCAACTTTATTCAAACTATGGTCGAGAACACAGAGTTTATAAATACCAGCATGCAGTTTGAGAGAATGTGTATTAAGGACGTTTTGAATGTTTCCGTTTGATGTCATGGTGCAGCCATAAAGAACCTGGGAGCTTGGCTGTGAAGACTTCCCTCAAATAAGCATCATACAGACATCAATGTAGTTGGAATAAGATATCAACTAGTATGGGAAAGTGTTTTAAACCCTGTAAGGAAAATCTTTATAGAGAAAAATGTTCTTTGAAAGAAGAAGTGTTGTGTACTGTATGCCGTTTGTTCCTGTTGAGGAGTCCGATGAGTTCTCATGAAAGCATGTGTGAGGATACGAGGTGGCTGTGGCTGAGATGAGAGAGCGGCTCGTGGTTTCTTCTCCTAACCATCATCATGTGTGTGGCTGGATGAGAGGCTTTGTAAAGCACTTCTTTTATTTACTCTCGGATGTTATATTTTCTGAAGGAAACTTGCCAACAAATGGAGTGGAACTGGTAGCTGGGTAGTTCTAGAGCAGTTTGGGATGTTATGCTAATGATCACGTCTCATGGAGCATTCCTCAAGTGGAAACAAAGTTCACACTACATGAGTTTCAGAGCAGTCAGATATCTGTTCACACCAAACAACTGGCTGTCTTGAAGTCATTGTGCTTTTCACACTACATGACTGACCGGGGACTGGGAGTCACACACTACAATCTCTCATCTGGAGTCCCCATGAGGTCTACCAACTACGTTTTGTCTGGAAAACACGTGTTTCCACACGTCTTCCGCGATGTAGATCAGTCACTGTGTTATGTGCTATGTATGTTCATGTGAACATCCAACACCAACTTTGGTCCGTGTTGCAAATTCAATGCTAGATATCTGGAATGCATCAGTGCTGCACCGGCGGGTCACAGGTCACACGCATTTGGCTCTGTTCTGGGGCTTTTGTACAAAATCTCAAAAAACTGTCGGCAAGTGGAAAATCAGGGCTACCAGTGTGCGAAATACGGAGGTCTTGGGGGTCCCAGACCCTTGGTTGAAACTTTAGACCCCCTGACAGCCTCAAGAGCAAAATCTAAGGTCATAAGACAACTATTTGTCACTTGCAATCGGTACTAAAATGTCTTTAAGAAGCTCACTAATGCCCAGCAGTTTACATTATTCAAACTGCAAAACATTTATTCACAAATATAATAGAGACGATTTCCGCCGTAATGTTGAAAGACACAGCCAGCTAGAGTCTTCACGTCTTTTGTGACCTAAATGGACCCCTTTTGGACAAATTTCCTCCAGTGCCTTTTGTAAGAACCTGTATGAAAGCAGGACATCGTCTCTCCTCTTCCTGGTTACCAGGATGGCAACTAGAAGAAGACGAGCCGAGGTGTGAGTGCCGGGTTAAAGCTTAGTTTATACTCGCTTTAGTGAAGCGGCGGTTCCTGCAAGTGGTCTACACTTCTGAACTTCTGTAACTTGGCGCGCAATCACGTGACTGTCCCAAATAGTTCACTGATAAAAACACTATCTACATGTCTAAGGATTGTATAAAGGACCATTTGATGCTTTAGAAACAGGAGGTCTTAAATCTACATTTGAGTAAATATTTTGCAGCCAAATCAAATTGTTCACAGTATATTCAACCTTGGTTTCTTTATAATGCATTTACTACTTGACTCATTTCTTTCGGGGACCCCCCCCCCCCCCCCCCATTGCCACCAGGTATTTCGCACACTGAGGGCCACAGTCGTGTAGTGCGAACTCGGCTTAAGAGGGTTTGCTGGATCCAACTTGTAACACTCATATGAGCAAACCTCAAGGAAGAAAGTACGAGAGGTTTAGGATAAGAACACAAAAATGTTCTTGCATGAGGGCCAATGTGTCATGCACAGAAGTTTACTAAAACAGAGGCAGAGCAACTTACTTTCCAGCAAAGCGCTCGTATGCCTCCTTCAAATGGGATTCCTGAGTTGAATAAAGAAAAGAATAAATACAGAACAATAAAATGTGACAGGAACGTGATCAGTTTCAGCACAAAGAAGCTCAAGGTGTGAACATTACCATTGAAGCACAGCTCCCTCAGTGTCTTCAAGTTGATGTTTTCTTCACTCAAGGTTTCTTTGAATTCCTGTATTCTGAAATCAGAAACAGGACGAGGTCAGAACCAATTGTAACTCTGAATTACACTTCTCGGTGACAAAATGCCTCACATATTATAAACATAATGTTGACTCATAACTGTTAACGCATGGTCTACACAAAAAGATGCTTTCTCTGATATCGAGTCCTAAAACTTTAGTGACGATACATTTAAAAGAGCAGTTTTACACTTTGGTTAATATAAAACGATCAATACCACTTGAGTCATGTCAGTGCGATACGTATGAAGGAGGGATTAGTTGAGCAAAGCATAAAGATTGGGAGCAGGCTGAAAGATCTAATTATCGCAATGTATCTTGTTTGTTTGATTCACACACAAAGAGCACAAAAGCCAATTAGTGTATTTCCCAAGATGTTGAATTCTTTCTTAAGGTAGGAATGGGCGATAAGACAAGACAAGATAATCCCTCATCAGTCCCAACGGGGACATTTGTGCTGTTTTGGATACGGATAAAGTAGTTCTTTTGTGATTTAACCATCACTCATATATATATACATATACATATATACATATACATATATACATACATATACATATACATATATACATATATACATATATACATACATATACATATATACATACATATACATACATATACATATATACATACATATACATATATACATACATATATACATACATATACATACATATACATATATACATACATATACATATATACATACATATACATATATACATACATATACATATATACATACATATACATATACATATATACAT